ACACCATTAACAGAACAAAAAGGCATCCTACAGCATGGGAGAATATATTCATAAATGACATACGATAAGGGGTTGACCTCCAAAATACATAAAGAACTTACATGCCTCGATACCCGAAAAGCAAATAACCTGATTAAAAAATGGGCAGAGGATATGAAGAGACAGTTCTCCAAAGAAGAAATTCAAATGGCCAACAGACACATGAAAATTTGCTCCACATCACTAACCATCAGGGAAATGCAAATTAAAACCACAATGAGATATCACCTCACACCAGTAAGGATGGCCAGCATCGAAAAGATTAAGAACAACAAATGCTGGTGAGGATGCAGAGAAAGGGGAACCCTACTACACTGCTGGTGGGAATGTAAGCTAGTTCAACCATTGTGGAAAGCAATATGGAGATTCCTCAAAAGACTAAAAATAGAAATACCATTTGACCTGGAAATCCCACTCCTTGGAATTCACCCAAAGAATACAACTTCTCAGATTCAAAGAGACATATGTACCCCTATGTTTATTGCAGCACTTTTTACAATAGCCAAGATATGGAAGCAACCTAAGTGTCCATCAGTAGATGAATGGATAAAGAAGATGTGGTATATATACACAATGGAATACTATTCAGCTATAAGAAAGAAACAAATCCTACCATTTGCAACAACATGGATGGAGCTGGAGGACATTATGCTCAGTGAAATAAACCAGGCCAAGAAAGACAAGTGCCAAATGATTTCCCTCATTTGTGGAGTATAACAACAAAGCAAAACTGAAGCAACAAAATAGCAGCAGACTCACAGACTCCCAACAATTAACTAGTGGTTACCACATGGGAGGGGTGTGGGAGGGCGAGTGGGGAGGGAGGGAGAAGAGGATAGAGGGGTATTATGTTTAGTACACATGGTGTGAGGGATCACGGGAAAAACTGTAACACAGAGAAGGTAAATAGTGAATCTGTGGCAGATTACTACACTGATGGACAGTGATTGCATTGGGGTATCGGTGGGGACTTGATAATATTGGTAAATGTAGTAACCACACTGGTTTTTCATGTAAAACCTTCATAAGAGTGTATATCAATAACACCTTAATAAAAAATTTTTTTAAAAAAAGGATCTTCTTCATATTATTGTTGCAATTCATTTCCTTATGGCTATAGGTATAACGGGCTTATTTTCTTGCTATGTATAGGCTGGAGACCACCAGCTCTCTAGAGTCCACTCTCCATGTTTTGTGTCTTGTGTCCCAAACATAGCTGTTTGCTTCATCAAGCCAGCCGGGAGAGTCTCTTCCCATAATGTGCATTACAATCTTGAATAATATGAGTGTAAACATAATCTCTACACCCTATCTTTTTTGCCTTACTCTACTGATTTGAAGCAACTCACACGTCATGCCCACTCAAAAAAAAGATGATTACACAAAGGAGTGAATACTAGGAGGGAGGGACCATGGGAAAGCTATCCTAAGAATATTTTCAAGACAGAGGAATTTTGGAAAACAAAAGTAAGCAGAGAACAAATGTGTGTGTGTGTGTGTGTGTGTGTAGTCTGTGTGTGTGAGAAAGAGGTTAGGACATGTTTGCATGTGTGAGAGGCAGGGACATGAAACTAATGGCATTTGAATGATATTGATGTATGCAAAAAAAGCCTTGTACTCTTTTAACTCATGGTCATTAAATTCTAGGTCATTCATTTTGCTTTGTTTTCATTAACATAGCTTGAGTTCAGTTGCTGTTGCTAGCAACTTCTGTCAGCTGAGAATCAATCCCACACCAATCAAATATTTTAAGTAGTAACTGAATACTAACTGTCAGCAATATCATTACTATTTTTAGACAGAGATAAAAAGAATCACAAAAATACTAGTTAGTTAAACTGCCTAAGAATAGAAAGTAATTTCCTCATCAAATTAAGTGTCTAAATGACCCTTCCATTCAAAAGTCATTTTAAAAGTGTCAATTCTGCCATAAGTTAAGAAAGGATTCCTGTTTTTTAGTCAGTACAATTTTAAACAAGTTTCTCTATATCCAATATATTCTTGAAAGTAAAGATAAGCCCTGGATATGATTGTATGAATATATAAAGGAAGGAAACAGATTTAAAAAACTGCAAATCATGATATTATAAGGGATACCTCAGAGAGCAAAAGGTATAGAGTATATCCAGGTATTTTTTCAGAGCATGTAATACTTATGTTGGATGTGAGGAGAAAAAGAATCGAAAAGAAGAGATTTTGAATAGGAATTACAAATTATAATGGCTTCTGCATGCTGCATTAAGTATATTCTATTCTGAAGTAGTTGGGAGACATACAGAGTCACTTTTAAAGAAGTATCCGTATATATCTTGTCTTATGTTGCTAATTTTGTGGTAATTATTATAAAGCAATAGAAAACTAATACACGAGCATTAGTATATTGAAAAGCTTTTATAGTATCATCATAAATCCTACTCACCTGTCTCTATATATTTCTCTGGCCTCTCACTCCTTCCAGGGAACCTTGCCCAGAACACCAGAACAGTGTATTGTTTTATGATACAGTGCATTTTAAAAGCCTTCTACACACATAGGGAATCATGCAGAAGCTTGAATGGGGAGTATAGTAGAATCCCAGTGGATGGCTCAGTGTTTGGAGGTGTTACTCTATCCACTATACTCCAAGTGCAACATGTGTATGTTTATCTTAATATATCCTTTTATTTCACAAGTATTTTTTGATAGAGCAGTTTCACTACTCATCATTAATCAATATCCTGTTATGGGTACACTTAGTATAAAACACATTCCTTTTATTATGTTAATATACTCCTGTCCTATAAACCTATTTCTTATTTATCAGAATGACATTTTTAACTCAGTCTGCAGAACAAATAAAGGTTAAGTCTCAATTTATAATGATGCTTAAAATTAAGTGGTTCAAATTCATCTAATCTCTTCAATGAATTTGAAAGCTTAGGTAAGAAAGCAAGAAATAAATTAAACAATAATTCAGATCATCATTAAGTATTTCAGGGATATTGCTGACCTCTGATACCTGAAGTGTAATTTTAAAAAAGTAAAACTATTTTCTCTCTGCTTTATAAATTAAAATAATTTAAATAATTTAAACAAAGCTATATTGTTATATTATTATAGAAGTGGTAAATAAAACATTGTGTAAGCATGGTACAAAGAATGTAATTAATTAGAATTTCATACTTGAAATATGTAAGCAAATAAAGAAAGTTTTGTCTTCTACATTCCCTTTAACATTCAATGAGGTATTACTTTTTTTCCTGCTACTGAATAAATATTGTAGAGGACTCAAAAGCATTCTGCTAATTTTCAAGGAAGAAAAAAAAAATCTCACAGTTGCTTTAAACTTTGGTGCAGAGGTTGAGTTCAGTAATTAAAATGTTCAGCCAAGTGTATTTACCAGAATTTTAATCCTCATTATAAAATAAGGCATCCCTTACTCCACCCTTTACCAACAAGGGCTGGGCCAGCAGATGATCCCCTCTAGTCTTTCTTCACTCTGTTTTGTGTGTTCCTTCTCCCATAGCTACAACATTAGAGGTCACAGGATTTAAGGACTGGGTGGAGTAACAGAGTAAGAAGTCCCTCTTTGACTTCTGCTTTAATAAGATAAGGCTACTTCTGAGAATTTTCATGGCTTCATCACAGCCTTTCAGCTGGGCCTTTCCATAATTGACTCCTGTTCATGGAAGGTCCCTTGACTTCAAGTGGCTGTGTTCCTACTGTGGATAAAGTGAAGGTTCCTGTGGCCAGGATTCTCACCTGGCCCTGGTTGGCTAGCTCACCACACACATGTGGGCAATACATTGTTACTGACTCTATATAAAGACCTTGCCCAGTGCTCTGGGCCACACGGTGGCAGGGCTGCAAGGCTGCAGGAGAGCAGAGCAGAGGCTGGAGTGGTGGCATCGCCAAGGACAGAGACTGAGACTGAGATGGCTGTGGGGCAGAGAGGCCCAGAGGCAGAGAGCAGCTTGCTGCATGCAGACTCGCTCTGAGTAGATGGGATTCTGAGTGGATGGGTTTCTGGTGACTGAACTGTCACCATAGGAATAAAGTTGGGTATAACCCTTTCACCCCAAGAACATTCTACTGTCATTTCTTTAATCACATTGAATCCATAGTGAACTTTCTCAGGGCTGAAACCCATTGGCAAGACACCATCCTCCTTCAACTCCTAATTTTCAGATTTTCGAACCCATGTGAATTCCCACTGTTTTGTGCAGTTTTTATCTAGCAGACCTTCTTAGGCAGGGACCATCTTAAATTACTGTCTCACATTGCTGTCCTGGGTCCATATCTGGTCCCTGGGATTTGTGGGTCTTTTTTACAGGTGATGGAGAAACTTGCAGTTTCTTACAAAGGCACAGTAATTCTCTCAGACTCTCTCCCTCCATTCATCTCTCCCAGCCACTCAATCTGACAAATAACAACATACTTTAATCTACCCTGTATCTTCTATTCAACAGAAACTCCCCATTTAACACTTTGTCACACATCTCAATTCTTTATCCCACAGAAGAAAAAGTGACCACAGAAGAATTTGATGTCATAAGAGTTTGAACCAGAATAGAAGAGTGTTTGCCGTACTCACTCTAACTAGATCTAACTGAAGGAAACAGATGAACAAAATTTAGTGTTACTTACTGTTGTCGGAGGTCATCCAGAGGACATGACTCCCAGTTGCCTCTAGAGCCCTCCCGGGCAATGGACAGCGCCTCACCTCCGCCATCCTCGGAATGTGTGCTCTGCCCACCATTCCCACATTGGGAGCCTGTGGGGAAGTCGGGGTTCCTATGGCCAGGATCCTCACTGAACTTAAACCACCTGATGATGTAACTGGCCTGTTGCTGGGCAGCCGCATCCACACCCACAGGCAATAAGCTATTATTGCGCTATAGAGAGAGCTCCGCCCAGTGCTCTGAGCGGAGGCAGAGACGCTAGGCTCCACCTACCGCCAGAGAACCCTTTCACCCCAAGAACGTTTTGCTGTCCATTCTTTTCGTCACACTGAATCCATAGCGAATTTGGCCGGGGCTGAAACCCATTGGCAATACAGAGCCGTTTTCAAGGATACAAGCCTTGCATGTGCGATGTGGTGAACCAACCGGACCCAACACGGATGGGCGGTAAGGCTTCTGCTTACGCTTTCAAGGTTCTGGTGGCAAGGTGGAGAAGGAAGTGTATCAGGCCGCGCTCGGCAAACCTGTAAGCTCCCTACTAGTTAAAGCGGCCACACAACCTCCTCTTCAAGCCCCCTGCTTCTTAGACTCGCCGCACACCAACCCGGGGGGTCGGCCTCTTTCTTCCTGGCGCAGCAAGCCGTCCGCCTGCGCAGAAAGGGCTTGGTTTCAAATTTCACCGGGGAAGCGGCCGAGAAGGCTACAAATCAACTGACTAGTCAGCCAGAAGTGTGAAATGGGTCTTAGGAATCAACCACAGGGGAAATCCCAAAAAGGCCATCCACCTCTATGTGGGGAATGGTGGCCTGTGTGTGCGATGCTTGTGGACCATGGGGTGAGTACAGGGACACCCCAGAAAATCCCCAAAACCGCCAGTTGATCTAAAGACTTGTTCAGGGAACTGCAGAACACACTGGCAAAGAAGGGAAGCGAATGGCTGTAGCGTGGGCTGGCCTCTACTGTGTGGGCTGTCCTGCTGGCTGCCGATGCCCAGCTGGGGCTGAAGCTCTGGTAGAAAGCTGGAAGAGTTGAGGTTAGGGAAGGACGCGTGGGTATCCCCTGCTCTGCTGGTGTCCGGGCTGGCAGACAGCGAGAGAACAGGATACTAAGTTGGAAATACTAGCATGCCCATTTGCAAAGCTAGGAAGGCACAAGCTGCCTCAGATTTAGGTCCCAGGGCTTGTGACGAAGCCTAACTAGAACTGTAAGACGTGGAATCTCTGGCAATGTGAGGAGAGGGAAGAGTGGGAGGATGTAGAGGTTGAAAGTAAAATGAATAAAATGCTCCCTTTTGTCCAGCCCCTAAGACAAGAGCAAAAGCAGAACACCACCCCTGCCAGCCTGACAGCCGTCTGTTAACGAAAGAGAAAATTCTTTCCTTGAGCTTATAGATAGAGCTTCCCGCTTCCAGCAAAGGGCCCAGGGACATATCCAGACATGACTAGGGCAGCTATGAGATACCAGGGGCTATGGCATTTCACTGACCAGGCAGGAGGCAGAGAAACTGAGCAACACCACCACACGCTCTGCCCTCTGACAGCGCCTGCATGGCACTCTGGGGGTTCAGGGTACGCACTCCGTAATAGACTGGATTATTCGAGCCTGCAGGAGGCTGGTCCAGTGATGGGCTCTCCCTTGGCATGTGGGACCCTGGAAATCTCTGGTAGGGAGGTGCAACAACTTCTTAGGGGGTTGGGAATGAGACAGACAATTTATACCCCTATTTTTGACATTCCTGATAAGGCCATATTCACTGTAAGACTGAAATCCAAGATTCTTGAGTCCACCCCTGGCACCTGGTATGAGACACTGATATCAATGCTGAGTTCAGGTGTGGGACAAGACATTTGCAATGTTGGGCAATCCACTGCTGATCTGGCGGACACTGGCAAACACTGACAACTACCTGGAATGAGAATGGGCTGTGGGAAAGATTGGAGACAGTGTGTGAAGACTTGCCTCTACAAATTTTTCTGAAACATCTGTGAAGGAGAGGATAGGCAGTGAATCCACAGAAAATTAAAGGTCCAGGTACCTCTGTAAATTTTTGGGAGTTGTTTGGTAGAGTAAGACACTCAGTGTGACAGAAGTTCTGATAGATAAGGTGCAAACTTATCCAAACTCTAAGAAAGAGGTGCAAGCCTTTGTAGGGATTGTAGGATTTTGAAGGACATTTATTCACCACCTGACAGAGTACCTCCTTCTTTTATACCATTTAGTGAAGAAAGGGCATGTGTAGAAGTGGGAGTTAGAACAGCAAGTCACCTTTGAGAAGGCAAAAGCACTAGTGACGATTAAAGCTCTGAGCATCTCCCAAGTAGGACTACCATTTCAGTAAGATGTCTTGTGACTTCAAAAGGGATAGGTTAGGCACTGTAACAGAGACAACAGAAGGAGGGCGTACCTCTGATATTTGGGTTCCAGGTCTGGAAGGCAGCAGAAACCCAAAATATCCCCACAGAGCAATAGCTCCTGGCATTGTACACAACCTTCCCATGTAGCACCACTCAGGAAGGAACACATATCATGGTAAGAACTTCTCTTCCTATCAAGGACTGGGTTGAGAAATGTTCCATCAACCCACCTCTGTCATGGTCCAAACTCCCATTTTGATTAAATAGCATGATTATTTGTAGCACTGGAGCAACCTCTCTACCAGACCACTGTCTTTAGAAATTCAGGTGCTACTAGAGCCAGTAGAGTATGTAGATCCTCCAAATTCTCCCTCCCCTATTCCTGTGGCTGTTCCTGTAGCCTGCAGACAGAGAGAGAAGAGAAATTCCCACTGATGCCTGGTATACAGATGGGTCTAGCTGCAGCAATCAATCCACATGGATTATGGCTGCTATTCAGCCCAACAATAACATTATCTGGATGGAAACTGAAACAAACCACAGCAGCTGAAAGACTGAACTCAGAGTGGTTTGGTTGGTGGCTGCTCATGATCCTGGCCATTAACACCCTTTGTACTGAAGGGCTGTTCTAAAGGGATTAACTCTATGTCTTGGACAATGGGAGGCCAAAGGGTAAATGTTCACGAATAAGCTCTTTTGGGGTCAAGATATGGCAAAAGTATTGAAGGCAGTCCTCACTGTTTGCCACACCCCTGCCCATGAGCATTGACACCCCTGGCAATCAGGAAGCTCATGCCCTAGCCCAAGTACCAGCCCTGGCGATCGACCCCTTCATAGGTAGCAGATTGAGTGCATAGTAAGAGCAGATTCCATAGCACCCAGGTGGGATGGAGTATCACTAAGCATGCCGGATTGCCCTTGAAATATAGCAACTTGGTTAATGTTGTAAACAGCATGACCTGTGAATTCTAAATAGTAAGATGTCTTGTGACTTCAAAAGGGATAGGTTAGGCACTGTAACAGAGACAACAGAAGGAGGGCATACCCAAAGCAACTGCCAAAGGAGTCTGAGGTCATCCACTGGAGTTCCCAACCCATGAGGGACTGGAAAGCTGGTTATAAAACCATGCTGGCTAGATGGACTAAAGTTCTTTCCCAGGCTTTAATACATTTGAATGATCCACCAATAGAGCCTGTTGTCCCACATGCCAGACCAGGGACCCTTACAGAGGCACCAGCTCTGTAAAGGTGTAGAAGTCTCAGGAGACAGACATTGCCACAACTCTAGCTGTGGATCTATGGGCTATGCTGTTGAGAACACCAAGCCCCACCACACAGAGGCATCATCTATTGGAATCTGCAGTGGGACATCTCACCATGATGGGTGAGTTACTTTGCATTCCTGCGTGAGGGGTAACCACTCAATCTCCACTGCGATCCCATTGTCCTGCTACAAGCTGGAGCTGTGGGAATGCACTGTCCCTGGAATGAAACATGCACCACTGAAAGAAAGAAGAAGGTGGGGGTCCTGGTCAGTCACGTCCCACCCCCAGTCATCTCTTCATGCCTGACAATGCCGTCATCCCTGGCCAGCATGTATGGTCAAGTTCCTAAAGCTACAGCCACATTAACATCTCAGGACCAGGCCACAAGAATAATTCTGGTAGAAAGGGAAGACCTTTCCACAGATGTTCCTACTGAACACCTGTCTCTCTGACCTTAGACTTCTGCTGCTCCTGTGATGTCCAGTCACAGGATGGACACCTGAGAGAAACACCTTTCTACAGTGGGCCCACTGGGATGCCCGGCAAAGGAATCAATCCAGCTGTCAGGTATGTAGGCACCTGCCCTTCTAGATCATCAGGATCCCATGGCAGGTGTCACCCCTCCAGGGCGGAGACTGAAAGTGCAAATGCAGAATGTGAAAGAAGAACAAGCTAGGGCTAGGACTCTTAGTTCATCTGATATCCCCACTATAGATTCAAAACCTGGCTTGCGGCACACACTACCAATATTACTGGGTGTGAGTGTTTTTTTTTTTCCTTCAATCAAACTACAGGGGCAGCCCATCAAACAGCTGCTGAGAAGGGTCCTAAAAATACCACCATCAGAGGCATGGGTGGCTACACTCAGATTTGGATGGGTTCAGGTGGATTACCCCTGATTACACAGATTTGAGCACTCATGCACCTCCATATTGGGAACAGAAAAATCACTCTTCAACAGAACCAACCCATTTACACCAGAATATGGGATGGATACCACAGGAACTGTGTTCATTCCATCACATGAAAGGACAGTGACTGGTTGGCACTGACTTTATTTATCAGGTAGTCCTGAATGGAACCCAGTGGTTGTGTGACACAAATCACTAGCTGTGGCTTCCACTTGGGTGGTTTGGCTACTGCAACCTGAGTTTTCCCTGAGCACTGGGGGAATCTGGACCATGGTAATGAAAGTTGTCAACTGCCCTCTCCTCAAGCCACATGGGACCATTCCATTTTCCAGTGGTACTATCTATTGGCCACAGTCTTTGTTCCCTCCATTGGCTTAAAGGATGTTATAGCACACATAGAAGTCTTTACTAAATTCTCCCAGCAAGGCCTAAATGATAGATAACAAACCCTGGCCTTACTGAACACTAAAATGTCTCAATGAGAAAAAGATGACCTCCAAAATAGGATGGCTTTTGACATTAGGACTGCCTGAAGGAGGCACCTGTGCCATTATCCAAAGAGTATGTTATGTGTTCATAACTGATTAGTCCATTAATGTATCACCATTATTATATCACCTGAGAACACAAGTGATTGACCTAAGTGATCTGACCCTTAGACTAGTAGACAGGGGTTCAGATCATGGGGCTCTTGGTGGAAAAAGTTGTTGCATATTTTGGCAATTACTACCTTAATCTGTGTTTTCTCTTGAATGTGGCTATAGTGTTGCTATAGTATCTGCCTCCAATGTCACCAGATAGCTGCCTAAGGAGCCATGTCCATGCTAGTGAAACTCCTTGCTAACTATTCAGGGCACATTGCACAAGAGGAAGGACATGTAAGATTGTAAGAGCCAGTCACAAGGGTTGGCATTTTGGAGAAGGTCATTGAGAGAATGTGACTGCCCATTCATCTACAAGCTGGACCCAGGCAATCATAGGACATCCCCTCCCCTGTCCTTGGAATGTACATTCTGTACACTATTTCCATAATAGGAGACATTTAAAGGACAGAGCCTTGATAAAGTAAGGTGTTCAGACCATCTGGACCAAACATGTGTTTGAACCAGGTAAGGCCTCTATCTTTAGTTCTAAGATTCTGGCCGGTGGGTGAAGAGATCTACTTACCTGAGGCCTCCCAGGACAAGCCTCATATGTAAGTTCTCTTGCTCTTTAAAATGCCATCCAGGAATGATCTGCCTCTTTCTTCTGTTTCCCCTGCCTTCTTCATGTAGGTACCAGTTTCCAATTTCACCCAGGAAGCTCTCACAATTGTGGACCAATACTTAACTGTGTTACAAACTTACAGATGAATGTTATGTTTGCCTTGTATTATCTATATTACTCAAGCTATGTACAATGATTATGTTCCATACTTAAGTCAGAAATCAAAATAGCATATTATTTATTTCTTTAAAGACAAGCAACTTTAAAATGAACGAGATTTCCATCCTTCAGGGTTTCTATTATTGTTTCTTCTACTTTTTTTGCTGGGTTATCACCTCAATTTCACAAATGCTTTCAACAAGCCTGGGAAGTAAGCCTGGGTCATAGGAGACATGGTTTCAAGGCTCAGTTTCTTTTGAAGATTTTTCATCCATATATGAAGTCAGAGAGGTGAAGGCTGGCATCATACTCTGTGCAGCTATGCCCTACCACTGAAGTCATCATATTCGTAGTCTTTAAAGGAAAGTTCTATTTTAATTCCTATTCCATTTTCTGAACATAGCAAATATGCCTAGCTAACTACATTTGCTAAGGTTGGTATTTTAAAATGCTGTCAACTCTGCAGAGCAAAAAGGATCTTCCACAGTGTGCAGACATATACAAAAAGAAGAGATTTTTTTCTGACCAATTAGTATGGCTAGTTATCTCAGAAAATACAGCATCCCTTCAAGGCAGTATCTACCTTCTAAAAAAAAAAAATCAAACTCATTTTTGGTAGAAATGAAATGCCATAATCTGAGTTTCTTATACACATATTTAATATGTGGCAAAATTATATCCCTAAAGATCTTACTCAATTAGATGAAATTTGGGCATTCATTTAGCCTCATAAGTATCTATGTCCAAGACTGAAAAATATCTTGAAATTTTAATGATTGACATCCTTTTAATTGCACAGAAAAACAAACAAAACTCTTGATTAGTAGAGTGGAAATTCAGTATAATTTACTAACTGCTTCTCTGAACATCAGTATGAGTACAGCTGACAAGCATATCACTTGTATTAGTTTTACAGATGGAAATATAGTGATATTATTCTACTTTCTTAATTTTTTCTCTACAAGTAAAACATGTTTTTGTTGTAAGTCTATCAAGATTTCAACATTAATCTAAATAACCTCTCCTTTAAGGAGATTTAAAATATTTTTTTCTAGCACCATCCTCAGCAGTTGTCATCTTTCCTTTTTAACACCTTACCACACATTTGTATATATACCAAAATGAAATATATATGAATATGTAATTATTCTTATTATCTGTGTATTTGTGTATCTCTTGTACTAGGGTATAAGCTCCTGGACAACAGAATTTAAATGTTATCCATGCTCATATTGTGTGGAGCTTGCCATGATGCCTTGAAATCAATAATTATTTTCACAATGGTATATAATTCTATTGTGTGTCCACTAGGGAGAGTGTGGTATATGCAGACAGAAATGAAACCAATTAAGATGACCTCATGTATGATGTATAAGTTTTTTGTTTGTGCTTTTTGAACTCTAGAATTTCTACAGCAGTAATTAGATTCATTAAAAAAAAAACACTCTATAAAGTTGAATTTTATTCCCATATTACAACTTATGAAAACAAATGATTCTTTTGCTAATTATAGAATACATGTGAAAGTGCAAAGGAAGCATGAGTAAAGTAAAAGTAATCCCTTTGTCTTTTTGACATAAAACTTAATCTCCACCTGGGAACTGAGATGAACATATTCTTATGATTTACAATGAATCCGTGTTAAGTTTCCCAAGACTTATCTGACACTATCAGTAGCACCTGAAACAAAGTCTGGAGCAGAGTAGTTTCTCTGTAAGTATTTGTTGAATGAAAAATCCAAAGACTTCACTAAACAAAAGAGTTTTATTCACATTTCTCTGGTAAGGAGCTCAGGAATCCTGGTGGGTGCTTTGCAATTTTAACTTCACCCACTTCCAGTTCTCATCACATCTGAAAATGGATGGGGCACTGTAACTCTGGGGGGAAAATCCAGGGGCAAAATACCTTTGAAACCAAAATCAGTCAAAGGGAGAAATAAAGTTTAAGAAACCCATTTATTGCTTACAAGCAGTTGTCCCATTTCTCTCTGGACCTGGCTGCAGCAGCAGAAGAGCAAAGAACTCCACCCAACCTCCCCTTCCCTCGCTGGCCCTTGTAATTACCTATTGATGTGGAGATGGAGTACTCTCCACCCCTTGGAAACTTGGAAACACCTGTTGATATGGAGGTGTACTAAAGCCTGGAAGGAGACTCTGGAAATATTGAAATTTTACCCACAAGCACTAAATAATTACTTTTACAACATGAATTAGAACTCACTGGATATACTCATTCTTGGTTTAAAATAGCATTTTGTGTTTCCATTTGTAGTCTTCAAATGACAAATGAGTTAGGATGAAACCGTCAATAACTCTTTAAGTTAATAAAATATCTATTAAATGACTATACAATACCAAACATTACTAATGCACTACAAAGAAAGGTTCATGAGGGCTTGACCTCATCTGGTGGCCAGGACATATTTCTGATCTAAGGGAGATTGATCTGGAGACTGAAGAATGAGGGGGCAATGTTAACTTTAGTGGACATGTGAGGGTGTGAGTATGTGTCAGGGAGGAGGGGAGGTGTGAACAAGGGACCCTGGCAGGGAGAAAGCAGCAGCCTGCTGTGTCCCAACTGAAAGAAGCCAGCAGGGTTGCAGGGGAGAGAACCTAGACTAATATGAGCCTAAAATTGAGGAAGTGCATAATAGAGCTACATATGAAAGGCTTTTCAGTGGATAGTAAAAATGATTAGTTTAAAAGGAAGCGAAAACCATTACCTATTACAACACTTTCCTCAAGAAACACCAGGTCATGTGTATTCTCTGTATTTTAAGATCCTCTGCTCCACCTGAACTTTGCAAAATCCTCCCTTCTATCTTTCCAAAAGGCTATTACTGGAGATGTTTCGTGTCACAACTGTGAATAAAAGCCTCCAATTTCAATATGTTAAGCAACTGTGACGATACCATTCCGAGTGTGAGACTTCTCATTTTTCATGCATGCAGATTTTCTTTAAAAAGACAAAATCTGCTTAATAAAAAAGGGATAATATGACCAAAAATAAAATTGTAGTAGGAGAAAAGAAGGATACTGACACAAAAAGAAGCTTTCTTGCCGTGAATAATTGAAAATATACAGGAGTTGTATATTATACATGAATTTAATGGTATCAATTAATGTTGATAAATACTCTATTTTCTAAAAAGTATGGTGGCAATTTTTGGCTTGTTCTTGGGATTTTGCATTCTGGATTCTAGGTGACTTTCTTTTGCTAACTCTCCAGACATTATCTCCTCCTCAGTTTTTTTCTCAAAACATGGAGAACAGTGTTTTAGGCGGGATTCCC